TCTTACGATACAGGGATTGACGGAGAATCTACTATGAATTTCTTATATACGTACCGTAGACAAGTTTGCATAATTCTAGTTTATGGCCGTGGTAAACTGTTGTCGCTTTCATTCGGGCACACGTCGGAATTCAGGCTGGAATAAGAACTCCTTCAGTGAAATGCACAACACCGTTGATAACGCTTACAACATGTTTGTTGAATATAAAGAAAAAACTCTTTGAATAAAATGCCTTTCTTAGCTGCTACAAATCAAAATACTCTACTGCGTGGAGATTCTGCTCGCAACTATTAAATTTATATCCAATCAATCGATCTATACTCAAGTCATCAATTATGCCTGTATCGTTTTTTTTTTTTGTACCGATATTGTAGGTGTGCTTTTTAACGACTTACAAGCAATCCCCAGCCACTAAAATCCAGCTGCGTTCCTCATGTCTGACCTTCTCTCTACGCTGGGGAAAAAGTGATCACCAAGCAAAGTGCGAGCTGGATTTATAGAAAATTATTTTCTGATAAAAATAATTAATGACTTATACCCAGGTAGGCGACAAAAAAATAACAATTCACAATCCCCAATTTCATTATCTCCATATTCCCGTAAAATGATCATTTAAGTTGAATCACCCGCACAAAATATAATAATGGCCACTATAAAACTGTCACGAAAAAAAGTACATCTTAATCTTAGTCGATCTTGCTAATGTTATTTCCTTTATATATTCCTTTATATTTTCTTAGATAGTTCTCCGTAAAGATAACCGTCTCCTGAGTGGTCAACATAAACAAATTCAAAATAAACCAGTTATTTTTTGTTCTTTGTCCTAAATAATTTACATTATTATTTTCTGTGATCTCTCATAATCACTTCAGGCAGCGTATAGTGAACAAAACCCCAGAATTCTAAGTTCTCTGGAACGCAATGAATTCGGTTAACACATTAATCGTCTTTTACATCTTGGTGGGAATTAGATAGGTGTGTGTATTCTGGTTTGGCTCAGTTTTACTGAATTTTGTTTTGTTAAATCTCGGTGTGAGTCTCCTTGGAACTCTCGTTCATTTAAAAACGAATCGCTGTCAAAAATTATATGTTGAAACAATACATTTTAAAAAATCAATTTTAACGCGTTTTATTCTCAACCAGTCAGCCCACTGCCCTGAGAATTTCAGAAATTGTCATCCAATTAGTAGTCTCTCCAAATCACCATCCTATAATTCCATGCATTTAAGCGTTTAAACAGGGCCAGTGTCCTGTTGCAGTTGTAAAACGAATGAATGTTGCGACGGAAGAAAAGAATGTTGTGACTTATGCGAGGTGTTTTTTTTTATATACATTTAAGGATGCGGGAACAGAAGTTATAATAGTTCTTCGATTTGTAGACCGAGAATAAGTCTCCGGGTTGTTAATGGCCGTGGTAATATTAGCTGATTACCTATAAGAAAACAGTTGGATCAAGTGGGTGTTCTTATATATTTATTGATCAGGATAACCGACAGGAGATTCTGAACTGAAACGTTTATTTAATCTACAGCGGTAGACAGTTCTTGTTCCACTGCCCATGACTAAAGATATCTCGTCTAGTTCTAATGTTTAGTACTGTTCAGTTATTCCTCCTCCGTTTCCGCCGAGTCAAATTACGAACTGCTCGGCCCAAGGTTTGAGCTCACAAATTTTATGTCACCAAATTCACAAACCAATTCATTATTATTACTTTTCGATTGAAGTTTTTAAATTTTTCTTTTAAATATTTTTTTTAAAAATAAAATTGTTTTTTCATGTCTTGTAGCTGTTATCGGTCTTTCCAGTCATGATAGGGTTTACTTCTTAACATTTTAATTGACACAGTGTAAAATGTCAATATCTTGATTGTGTCATTATTTTCTCTTCGATTTATATGGTGCAGTCCATTTTAGTTATTGCTGCTACTGCCTTTGCGGTAGTCGTTAGATTTGATTTCAGTTATTTGGTACGGTTCTTTGTGATTGTGAGTTAGTCCACAATCTTCTAAGTAGTATAATAACTACCAACCTCTATCCAAGCTCCACCCATTCAAAGACTTTTTAACGATAGATCTTAGAAATCTAACAGTTTAGATATTTCGAAACGGCTTTGGAGTCATACAGTAATTTCATATCAAAGCCCCCCTCTGACGTAACTATTAAATAACATGTCTTGATGTTTGAGGTTTAATATTTGGTTTTGTACCAATTTGCGGTACTACATCTGGCGCAGTCTATTCAGTGCTCAAATTAGTTTTCTCCTGTACAAAATCTGTTATCACTGAGGTATTTAGAGTTTTTACTAATTTAATAATTCCTCATCCTGATTTTTATTATGGCTTAAGGGTTGGTGCCATCACTGTTTTCATTCCAATTCCAGATCATAGTTTCTGCTTTGGAAAGGTTTATCTTGACTCCTATTTCTTGGGATGTATAGTTGATTTTCTGACAGCAAATGTACTACCTAAATATACCCAGTTCTTCTTATCGGTGATGTGTACCTTTCTGACGTTTGTTCCCCACAATATCGTGTCCTTTATATCTCTTAATAAATTTTGTCTTTTTTGTTATCTCTCCCAAACCTTGAACCCGCCACCAATTTAGTCAGGCTCGCAAAGTAGGTTATGCGTTGTTTTCCTTGCAATCAATGAACTAATGTAAATGGAATATTCAGGATGTCTGGGATTTTCCTGTAACTTTTACTTTCTTTCCAGAGCTTAACAATCAGTTCTTTGTGCGAATTCGTCAATTCTTTACCTCTTGCTATGATGATAACTTTCTTGCACGAATATCAATTACAGAATGTTTTGTTTGTACTCTGGGGGCTAGAAATAACTCCTGATAACATTATTGGAACATTCTAGAATATTCCATGTGGATAATCTAGAGTAATAAAGCAATTTTTAAAAAAAATAACTCTGAGATTTACATTGTACGAATACATTTTTCGTCCATTAAAATACAAAAATGGGATTTATTTGAATTAAAATAATTTCCTGTTTTCTATGCATATTTAGTTATTATGCATCTGTGTACAGTCAATTATATGAAAAGTATGTTTATGTATTACTTGAAAATACAATAAATTAAAAATTTGTATGTGTACGAATATTTGTTTCCCTCTCTATATTGATTTCACATCTTGTTACCCAAGCTATATATGACTATGATAATAATATTAATATTAATAATAATAATATTAAGAATATTATTTTAAGAAGGAAAATTGATTTTTGAAGATTTAAAAAAAAAAAACTATCAAAATACATGGATCTTGACATGGAGATGTTAAAAATGTGTTACATGAGAATATCAATAATTCCACTTGTTGTTGTAACCGTCGGGTTGATTCGAAAAGGTTCCAAAAAATTAAGTGTAAGGATTTCTGGTAGACCATACCTTCAAGAAATAAATAAATAAATAAATATATATATATATATATATATATATATATATATATATATATATACCAAAAAAATACAGCTGGCAGACTACTAAGAGGTTTACCTATGTAAAATATGTGTGATTACAGGTTTTTCTTTTTACATAAATGATCGATGGAAAATGTCATGAAGCCATTTCTGATCTTAAGTCTCTGGTTGAGACTCTGAAGGAAATGTGTATACAATAGAAATCATAGAAAATAATAATAATAATAATAATAATAATAATAATAATAATAATAATAACCACCCAGACCCGATTACGGAGATAGGGCATGTAACAATTTTACATACTGTTCAATCATTGTTAATCGCGCAGAGGTCATTATTAGAGAGAGCAAACAAAAAATTGCCACCAGTTCATGCAGAATGCAATGCACCTCTGAAGATCTTCAAAAAATCTATCAAAATACAAGGACCTTGAAATAGAAATCTCAAAAATATGTCACATGAGAACATGAACAATCCCTGTTGTAGATGGAGCCCTCGGATTGATTGGAAAATATTCCACTAGACTCAATGAAGGGATTCCTGGTAGCTCTTTGTCTTAAAGAAATACAAAATATTCTTCTGACGAGTACAGCCCACACATTACGAATGGCATTGTCTATGTAAAACATATATGTGTGTGTGTGTCTGTGTGTGTGTCTTTTTTAATTGGTCAGTGGAAAATGTCATGATGCCATTTCTGACGTTAGGTCTCAGGGCGGGACCCGGAAAGAAATGAGGACACACCAGAAAGCAAAGGAAATATACTAATAATAATGATACCAACAACAACATCAACAATAATAATAATAATAATAAGAAGAAGAAGTTCCTGATCTAAAATCCAACAATACCAAACAGCTTTAATACATATGAAGATAAAATAAACAAGAAAGTCGGACAGACTCTCTTCAAGCCTAAATCATGAGGTGATAAGCTGCGGCAATAAAATTGATCTACGATGACCATTTGTCCTCAGAAACCTCCAAGACATTTTTTCTCGCAATATTTTTGTCTTTATTTCATTATCAAACTGAAGAAAACCAAAGAGAAAACATTTCTTTCTGGTAGCGAAACGCGTTTTTGATTAAAAAAAAAACAAACTACTTTATCTCATCATATTCACTTTTCTTTTGGGTATTAGACATCAGACAATGACATATATGACTGCGACCAAACAGGCTAGACGAAAATTGGATGGGGTGAATCGATAACCATCATAATTCTTTTTGGCTGAAAGTAGCGCACATATGTGTGACTAAAATTAAACGCGCGAGTAACGTAGCTTGTGCTTGTGGTTAGAACTTTTAACGAGAAAATAAATTATTTAACAGAAGTGAAATTAGTTTAAGATCATGAACTGTGCTAAATTAACTTTGTTCTGTCTAACGTCTATTGTCGCAACAGTACTTCAAGGTATTACGGTTTCTCACTTGATTCTTATTGAAAATGTTATTTGCCCTGTAACATTTGTTATAATAACGGCTTCAACGTTAGTGAGGAAGCCTCTCCAGTACAAAAAGAGTATTGTTCGAATACCAGAAGCGATGAATGCTTTCTGTCTCGCGGCTTACGGCTATATCACCTGGAAACACCAGTTTACGTACGATCACCGAAATTAAGCAATGTCGAGTCAGGCCAGTACCTAGATGGGTGACTGTTTGGGAATACCAGGTGCTGTAAGCTTGGATATTGGGTTGATGCAATGGATAATGGCACGGGAATTAGAAATCGGAGAGACGAGTTCCTATTCCAGTCGGGTTAGGTATATTCACTTACGCGAAACAGGTAACGTATTCTCCTCCTGTGGATGGGTTAATTAGCAAGACTTGTATCACTAAATCCTTATTATCCTTATAAATCCTTATTATCCTTATTATTCTCATGAATCCTTATTATCTTTATTATCCCTATAAATCCGTATTATACTTATGAATCCTTATTGACCTTATAAATCCTTATTATCCTTATTATTCATATGAATCCTTATTATCCTTATAAATCCTTATTATCCCTATAAATCCCTGTATCACTAAATCCTTATTATCCTTATGAATCCTTATTGTCCTTATTAACCTTATAAATCTTTGTTATACTTATTATCCTTATAAATCCTTATTATTCTTATGAATCCTTATTATCCTTATTATCTTTATTATTCTTATAAATCCTTATAAATCCTTATTATCCCTATAAATCCTTGTTTCACTAAATCCTTATTATCATTATGAATCCTTATTGTCCTTATATTCTTTATAAATCTTCATTATCCTTATATTCCTTATAAATCCCTATTAGCCTTATTATCGCTATAAATCGTTATTATCCTTATTATCCTTATGAATCCTTATTGTCCTTATTATCCTTATAAATCCTTATTATCCTTATAAATCCATATTATCTGCAAAAGATTCTTACAAAAACATAAGGCAGACTGTTAATGAATGACAAAACATGGTGATTAAAATGAAACTGATAAAGAAAGATTTCCCCAAAACATAAATCAGATACAAAATTTTGATTAGCAAAAACATCATGCTAAAAATCGGAGACACAGAAATCGTAAGGCGCACATGAAGTGCGAAAAATAGCTTTTAGAAATTAAGCAAAGTATTAAGGGATTGGAAAATTTTGTGGCCTTACAAATAGTTCCGGTTCTTGATATATATATATATATATATATATATATATATATATATATATATATATATATATATATATATGTCTGTTGAGCTCTCTGGGGAGCAAGTGTGGGTTTGTAAACAGTGAGTGACTATTACGGCTAATAATTCAAGACACAGTAAATCAAATCGAGTTCTCTCAGTCACTGTGTGTTTATTTAAAAATAAATACGCTTAAATTCACCTTCACTGCTGTGCCCCAATGGCTTAGTGGTAGAATCGCCGACTGACACCACTTCTGTCGTGTTTCGATCCTAGCTAGAGGCAACCGGATGTCTAGCTACACTGATGAGCTGTGATACAGCGAAACAGTCTGTCTGTGGATGACTATATATATATATATATATATATATATATATATATATATATATCGTAGAATCATTGCTTAGAATTGTCTACCGCACATTGACCTCAGTTATCATGCCAGCAGAGGTTTCTTTCCTGAATAAAGTTAATATTATGTATTCGATAAACTTATCGGTAAAATCCTTTAATCGCTGTCGGCGTTTTTTTTCTAATTTGAGTTTTATATATGAAGAAATTAAGCTATATTTTATTCTCATTAAAAATTTAAACTGACAAATATTGAATCCAAATTGATTTTTAATTCTGCATATGACTAATCCAAATAGAGGTTTACGGCTATATCACCTTGAAACGCAGATTCCCGTACGATCACTGGTTAAGCGACATCGAATCTGGCCAGTACCTGCATTGGTGACAGCTTGCAAATACCAGATTCTGTAACCCTGGATGTCCGGGTGGTGTAATGGATAATGGCTCGGAATTGTTAATCGTAGAACTGAGTTTCATTTCCAGTTGGGTTTGTTATATACACTTGCCAAAGGTATCTATCTACTTCTTCTCTCCCCAGCTATGGGTTAATTAGTGTCATGAGTCCTTACATATAACTACAAAATTAACTCTGTCTAACACTATGTATACTACGCCTCTCAAGAGAGAGGGTCGAATCGAGTCGAGCCGATAGTAGTTCACTCCAAACCAGACTGACAGTCATACTAACATCTTCCACATTTTGTATTATTATTTCGTGTAATATACCTTCGTTATTTCTACTCTTGTGTTCATGTTGTTCTTCCTTGGTCCTAACCTGGACCATAACAAGATTTGATTTGATTTTGAATTACCAGGACTTCCTGAGGGAGTCTTTTTTTACAATAATGTCGACTCTATATAAGAGATGCATTTTAGTGTAATGGATATCGGAGAGCCGAGTTCGAAACCCAGTCGTGTTTGTTATATTCACTTAAGCACAAATTCCCTTGAGAAGCGTATGAATCAATCCGTTCTCCTCCCAGCTATGGGTTGAATATCAGACTGGGTTATTTAGCCTTGGTTGGCAACCAGTCCACCGTAGAAAGAAATGGCAACCTACTGCGGAAAAAAAGAATCTTGTATCACGAAACCATTATTGTCTAAAAGATTCTTAAAAACTAAAATAAATTCTGGTTTTAAATAATCTGCAAAAAGTTTGATGAGCAATAAAAAACGAATCTCTCAATCAATCTACCAAAGGAATGAAGATGTTTGCCTTTTTAGATATTCTAAAACGGTTAAGCGTTTGTCTTTGCTTATAAGGACGTTTTTTCTGTCTCCTAATAATTTGCTTATTTTCTGGAAGACATCTTTATTTCCATGCATCGTTCGATTTCACTCTCACATTTTCTATGCAATCAAAGAACTTTTCAGTTTTCTTATAAAGAATTCCAACGAAATGTTGGTTGGATGAGATTGTTTAACGGCATATCAACCTCTATAGGTTATTTAATACCGAAATTTAAATATTTTGTACGTAAATGTTATGCTTTCAACTACAGATATTTTGTACATAATTTTATACTTTTGATATTTTCAAGATATATATTTTGTAGATAACAAACTATGTTGGTAATTTTACAATAAAAATGTACTATTGATTTGTTTGGAGGTTGAATATTTGCCCAAAAGTGGTTCCACACCCCTCAAAAGCTCCAATCTCCCGATCAGAGGCCTTGCGTCCGGATGTACTTTACCGTCATGCCCAGGACGACCGACGAAATGAGAAAATTTAATGGAAATTTAACTTAAGTCAATAACAAAATATTCAATGCATTCTGTATTTTGCGCATACAGTAGAAATACGTTAACGTTAGACACTGGTTTCTAGTTAAATGTCCCGAGAGAAATAATCAACAGGCCTGAAACATTGACAACGACGGTATGTGAATACCGATAGCTTAGCAAATAAAATTAAATTTAAGCAACTCAAGATGCGCGCTAAGAATTGGATATGTCAAAATCAAAATCAAGCAAGTGAAGAGGTTTAAATAACCTTTTTCTACTTCTATGTGGCCTGTCTCTCCCGGGGTTGGTAATGTCATGTCCATTTAGGATTCGAGCAATCATGGCTATCCACAGATTTATTTACTTTTATTGATTTTGAATTACCAGGACTTCCTGAGGGAGTCTTTTTTTTTACAATAATGTCGACTCTATATAAGAGTTGCATTTTAGTGTAATGAATATCGGATAGCCGAGTTCGAAACCCAGTCGTGTTTGTTATATTCACTTAAGCACAAATTCCCTTGAGAAGCGTATGAATCAATCCTACTGCGGAAAAAAAATCTTCTGCCTCATCAGTGATGTAACGAAACAACCACGATCTCACAAGCGCACTTAACTGACTGACTGTATAAGATAACCACGAGGTAGAGTGCTACAGAGTAAGAGGTTATAGCCACAGTTTATAGGGATATGTAGAAAGGATAGCAGTTAAACCTAGACTTGAACCAGGTTAAGATTGAAATAATCCTCTTGGGAGATGCTCGATGCAAGTTAACCACCCGAAAGTGGAGTTGTTCTCCGTTGTCTTTCTCTTTGAATTTAATCCAAGGATTTCTTTTTGCGAGACAGGCTGCCACTCAAAGCAGGAGATTTCTATCTACGAAGATATCCACCCACTAGCTAGCTGGAGGTTTACAACCACATCACGTTGAAACAATTATCCCCGAACAATCAACGGAGTTAAGAAATGTCGAGCCTGGTGGGTTTCGTGGGTGACAGCTTGAAAATACCAAGTACTGTATGCATTGATATGCGGGTGGTATATTCGATAGTGCCTTGGATTGTTAATTAGAGATCAGGGTTTCAATTCCAATTAGTTACGACGTATTCACTTGCGCACAAATACCTTTCGGAAAGGTAGGAAACCATATCTACTTCCCCAACTATGGGTTAATTAGTAAAACTTGTTTTACCAAATTAGTATTATCTAAAAAAGATATTACATTTAAAAAAATATTTTCTAGTTTTAAATAACCTCCAAAGTGTTGATAAGCCGTATAAAACGAACCCTATCAAGGAATCAAACAAATGACATTGAATAATTTACGATTTGTTCATAAAATCTCTTGTTTAACAAATTGGAATGTCTATGGTTACCAGTGTATCATAAGAACAAGTACATCTCTTCACAAAATTTTTAATGAAGTATATTTTCAAAGGTAAGATCTATGAGGGTATGCTGAGGAGTTCACGTGCTATGAAGAAGTTATGCTTGAGCTGTGGTATCTTTCACGCATTAAATTAAACTCTTCTTATTAATATATGTATTTGTTCTCTCCAAAACGTAATAAGTAACCTCCCCTTTGCAAATGGACCGAAATTGGCATCCTGATGTTATTAAGTACCTGGTGGAAAAGGTTTTAGCCGCAAAGATTTTCATTGTTTGATACATTAGGGGATGGTTCCCCATATTTATCGACGGAAGAGTGGGCAGCTGAATTTAGGAGAGGAAGGCTCAATCTTCAAGTCTCGATGTCCCGCGATGGCCACCAGCGAGGAAAATATGAATCGAGTTCACTGGATGACAGGCGATCGATTACAAATCAAACTGCCAAATCTGTTAGCAAGACCCATAAGAGAGATGAGAATACTCTGTATAATTAACCTGCCATGACAAAGGTTACTGATCAAAAGCGGTCAGGCTGATCACATTACGGGA